CAAGATTGATTAAGGGGTGAGACGGGAGAAAGATGGATACACCGAGAGGGCAGCGAGGGTAGGTTCGTTTGGATGGACGAGAAAAACATGTATGTGGCTTCCATTCATTTCTGTGCGGAAGACGTGTTGGAGGAGTGAAGTCCTCATATTTCCCCTGAGATACATCGACATTTCAGAGGAGCCCTCAAGTAACCTTGTTACTCACTGGGATAATTGCAAAAACACTTCTTTAATCCAGTATGCCACATGGTAAAAAAAAAAAAAAAAACTAGCGAGAGAAGAAGGATGGAAATGTACTTAGTGGCATAAGGAGAGAAAAACTAAAAGACAGTCGACAGGCATCCTCCAGTAAAAAAAAAAAAAAGAAGATTAAGCAGGACAGTGAGCATGAACAGTGTCTATGTGTCAGAGGTCGTAGATTGTAGTGGAGTCACTGGACTGAAACCCACAAACACTTACACACCACGAACTACTGCTGTAAACTGTTTTCTAATCTCTGCCCTGTTTTTATCTCACTTTTTTATACGTCAAAAATTATTAGAAAATTACTGAGAGTGGTTAAGGGTTGCACTGTGGCTCATGAGCCCTGGTTTGAGAAAATAAAACGTGTTCTGGTTTGATATGCTAGTACTACCATTAGCCCTCAGCTAGAACACAGGCTAGCACCATTGTTAATCCCAGCTGATTTTTATTAGTTAGCTACCATGCAAGTAACATTAGCATTAGCACCGGCTGATTATTGTTAGTCAGTTTGAACACAAGCTAACGCTAGCATACGCCTCAGCTGATTGTTATTAGTCAGCTTGAACATAAGCTAACACTAGCATGAGACCAAGCTAACCTGCAACTAGACGAGCCAATTGTGGTTATAGACTGTAGGTGATGGGTTTATTCACTGCCATTTAAAGTACATTTTCGTGAGTGAAAATGCAACAAAATTTGATAAATACTCCACAAACAAAAACAAGTGAAATATATGAGTTCTAAATATTTTGACTCCTGAACTTCTATTGGCTAACACAAACGCATGTCGTGAATGAAAAGTAAGCTCTTTAACAGCAGACAGACAGCACGTGTCGCAGTCGTTTTAGTCGAAGCGATGGTTTGCTCTGAAGTGTTTCATTATGTATTTCCCTGGTTGCCAGGTGCTGTGTTGGTCATCAGCTGGGCTGAGACAGGACGAACCTCCCCCAAGTAACACACACCCTCACACACCTGTGAAATGGCCCGCCTGAGGCCCCGGTGCACATCCACCCACACACAAATAGCAACTGTGACATAAGCGAGACAATTTGGATCTGTCAATCATGACCTTCGGGCATGAAAGCTGTCGCTCTCACACACTTCCACACACACTCTCTCACATCTACTCCTCCTTCACCCGGGCCCGTGGATTATGTGCCTATCTGGTTCCAACCCCTCTCACCTCCCCATAACTAATTGGTTAGCGTGGCCATCAATCATCACCAGGCGTTGGAGCCAAAAAACGCCAAATAAAAACAATTCACTGAAGAATTTAGGGATGTATGAACCTAAAAATGAAGATGGATTCTTGTCTGTTTTCCGTTTTGCCTGCACACACTTCTCCTCCAGGGTTAAAAGCCCGTTGTAGGAACAGACTTTTACACGTCCCCTGAGGAACACCGAGGATGTATATCACTGTGACTTGAAAGTTACAGTAGTCCATAAAACAAAACACAAGCCCTTGACGCAGAAAACCAGGTGTCGGACGCCTCCACAGCCAAATGACCCAGGCCTTGGTCCAACCAGATGTTGCAAGTACTGAGAAGACTTTTGACACTTGACTTGGACTTTCTTGACAATGTCTCGGTCAGCTTTGCCTCTCGTTTTATAGTTTTATAATGCCACATAACAAAGAGTAAATATTACCAAAGTAAAAAACGTTGTACATGATAATAATTCCGTTTTTATTTGATCATTTTGGTGAACAAAAAAAAAAAAAAAACGTGTTGACGCTGCGTCCGTATGACACTGGCCCTACAGTGCAGCCTGTGAATTAGAACGGAGCAGAACTTCTTCCTCAAGTCCACAGCCAAAGCTGCTGACAGCTCCAAGCTGTTGTGAGGTTCACATAAGTAAAACTAGAACGACAGCTGTGGTCCAAACAATACACCAGACAGTAGAGGACAAGTGTGTGGTTGAATAGTGGTTTTTTATGCATCTGTAGTGTATGGTTTTACCATATGTTAAAACACTTTTTTCAGTGGAAACGCTCCAGGGTGTTTTCCTATAGTTTTGTATGTGTGAGAATACATGTAAAATACACCGAATTACTCTCAGGAGCTGGAAGGAAAGGGAATCAAGAAAGTACATAATGATGAAGACAGACAATCCACAGAAGGGAACCACCAGCCATTTTCTGTCCACCCACACAGCTAACACAAAACAGTAACACATTTTATTTCTTGTTTTTTTAGACTACAAACTCTGAAGCTGAATAGGAAACATTAGGGCTGTCAAATTATTATGCATTCTAATCATGATTAATTACAATTAATCATGTTCAATCAAATGCATCCCACAAACAATCATCTTCTGTCCATTAAAATTGTTAGAAAACAACTGGGAACAACTGGAACAATAACAATACGCTGAGTTGCTTGTGGAAAACAACTGGGACCGTTTCACAACAATAACAATACGCTGAGTTGCTTGTAATGCAAAAAGCTTAACTGTCCGTGACAGTCGTAACACAGTACTGGGGTGATAATGATCCCAAAAATATATGACACAATAGATTTGTTGTCAAATTAGATTTGACTTCGTCAAATTCTAACTCCAAGGCCAAACGTGAACGCACGTCCACGGGCAGTTAATCTCACTGCGGAACATTCAGTTATGGTCATTTTACAGCCTATTAGGCATGTGGATCCACTCCTCCCCGTCTGACAACAGCAGCCCAGTAAATAAGGCTCTTGTCTTGGGTCAGTGAGTGGGTCAGTTGGGGTAACAAAGGGTCACCTGACCCTCTGACTCACACACAAGGAGAAGGAGTCTCTGCACAACATCAACCAGGCTGCATTAGGAGATAGAGAGGAGAAGACACAGGTGGTGATGCTCACATCAATGTCTAAATGATTATGAGACCCCCCCCCCCGCTGGCCCACCGTGTCCCCAACCACACACACACACCACGTAGAGCTAGACAATGTAGAGGTTCCACACGATTAAAACAATCTTCCGTTCTTTTAGGTGTAACGGAGTTAATGAATGACCGTTCCCTTTATTTCAGCTCACGCAGACGCACAGCCACACCAAAAAGGAAGAGAAAAACACACAGATTCAAACGCCTGGCCACTCACAGAGCCCCTGGGGCCAGATATCACAGTCCTCACAACTGGAACTAATAGAGCACTTCCTGCATCGAACCCTTGGAGCAGCTGCTGCGCTCTCGGTGTGAACGTGTGAGTCTGTATCTGTGTTGAAAAAAATAGGGGCTTTTGTGGACAAATTCTTCTGATAGCAGCAGAGTGAGCGAGGGTCATGGTGGTCTCCCCTCTCTGGTTTATTACAAGACTTTTTGGAGGAGAAACTCACAGCTGGGACTGAGGTCGGAGAGAACTCCAAAAAAACAAAAAAAAAAACAAAATAGCTGCAGAAAGTTATTAGGACAAGCAACCTTGTACTGCCGCAGACATAATGTCTACAAGACATCTGGTGCACACATGCAAGCCCACGCACACACACACACACACACATTCACACACACACACATACAATTATGTGTGTGTATGTGACCGAGGAGAAAAAAACTCTTTGGGACACACGTTCAAAACAAAACAGCCACAAGTTCATTGGAAACAAATTCAAATAATAATAATATTTTGATTCAAACCAAAGGCCTGACGTCCTTTATCTCCACACACACAGAACACTGTCTTCTGTCAGTACGGAGACAGTGTCCAGTAGAGCAAACAGAGGTCTCTGCTTTGAGACTGTGCAGCCGACATCATGGCGCTCCTATCTCCCTGGTGGAGCAGCCCTGGCCTGATGTGACACTGGCCAGGTCTGTCTGCCCGCCTCTCCATCACCACCTCCTCCTCCTCCTCCTCCTCCTCCAGAACACAAACAACAGCCACATTTCCACCCACAGATAACCTGACTTCTTCACAAACACAACGACAGTGTGGCGTTTGCAGGATGTTGGAATCCAGAACCCCACTGATCTGTGACTTGTAGACGCAGCATGGAAGACGGACGCAGCACTTTCTGGCCCGTCCCCATATGTTGGAGACACTGTAGAGCAGATGCACACAGATGCTTTCCACCGGTTAAATGAGAGCGGATAGAAAAGAGCAGCTGTCTCTGTGTTGTAGTTCACACAAGTTTCATAAGACAGAAAAACGGAGCTACCACGATAGCAGTAAACAGGAGGCTGCGTGTTTGAATATAATTATATTCACAAAAAATATAAATATATATTTGAAAATAATAGTATCGTCAGACGTGTTCCACTTCAGTCAGTGACGACCTCACAAATGTGACAATTTTACAGGCTGCTCGTGAAAGAAAAAAAAGTTTTAAAGGCAAACTGACACGTACTGTATTTCAATGACAGCACAGAGAAAAGAACGAAGTCAGCAAATGTCAACTTAAACCATGTGCAGTAACAACAGTGTGACGTTCAAAGACTCATCCCTGCTCTGCTTTACCTCCGCTGCTAAGGATGAAGAGATAAAGGGATGAGGCACCATCTGTACAGTGTAGGGCAAACACACACACACACACACACACAATAACACACACTTCCCAAGGTCTTAAAAAGGCACGTTTTACTGTCTTTAATAAACTTTACTCTCTACATAAAGCTGCCTCTCGGATTCTGGACCTCTGGTCTGGACTATTGGTTTTGTGACAACAAACGTGTTATAAACAACTGACCTAGTAAATATATATTTATAAATAAACATATATGATGATTAAGTTCAAGCTGAACAAATGCTAACACAAAAACAACAACCCGGAGTCGTCCTTCTTACCTCCTCTCTAGTAGAGTCCACTCTCAGGTCTGTAGAGAAAGTCAGCTGCGGTGTCACGGCTCTGCTTTCTTATCCTTTCCTTCTGCTCTCTCTCTCTCTCTCTCCGTGTGTGTGTGTGTGTCTCTGTGACTCCACGCCTTCATATGTCAAACATGTGTTTGCATTCCCACATATGTGAGTTCCACTGTGGCGAAAGGCCAGAGCCAGAGACACAGATGGGACCCAGATGGAGACAGTTAACCTACAAGGACCGGCACGAGGCTGTTTGACACACAGGACCCACCAACTCTGACTCTTCTGACTCTTCTGACTCTTCTTCTTCTTCTCTCTCTGTCTCCCGATTTCTTCTTCTCCTTTTCTTTTTAATCCTCCTCTCTCAAATTACACCCTGGGTGTGTGTCAGATGACTCTCTTCTCCTCCTCTCAGTGGATCTGCATCCTCAGTGCCGCTCACTCTCTCCAGCTCTGAAACACCTCTCTCTCTCTCTCTCTCTCTCTCACTCACTGGCTCTCCCTCTACTACAGCTCCTCCCCCTTTTTCCCACACACTCTCCTCTGCTCTGTGTTCAAGGGGTGGGTGCAGCAGTGACATCACAGCCCACCCCCCACTCTCCACCCCCTCCTTTCATGGACCCAGGCCAATCATCCACTGCTGACTGGCTCCATTCAACCTGCATTCAGCAGCTATGCACCCCACAATTAACATAACTAATTGCTTTGGCACCTAAAGGCTAAACAAGGGGCCGGTGCCAAAGGAGACAAAAGTGTGTGTGCATATGTATGAGTGTGTGTGCTGAGGTGGGGGGTAACTTTGAAACCCCATTCCCTGCCTTTTTACATTTGCCTTTGCCCCTTTCCAAACACCCCCCCCTCCTCCTATAAAATGTTTACATACGAACATGAACCTTTTTCTTGTTAAAGCAGCTGCTTCAGAGCCCAGTCCTCAAACATTGGGTTCTCCTCCAAGTGGTGAAGGAGTCATTCACTCTCCACTGAGTCTAACGGTCTGATTTATGTCCTGCTGTAGTGAAGTGGAGCCGGGACAGTACTGACCTAGAGATAGTGGAGTGGGGCTAAGGGCGTTTTTTTTATTTGCCTCCAGCTACACTTACCCCTATTGTTTTACCCCCTCAGAGGCGTAATGTGAGGTTCACTATATTCATATGGTAAATAAAACATCACATAGATGACTGGTGGGACTACTGGGAGCTCAGGATCAGCCTGTGAGAGCCTGCTGTGAAAGGTAGAATCATTTGGATCAACTCTGACACGACCTACTGTAACGGCGACCTCTTGACCTCAGGTCATAGACACAGTACAATGTTTTTGACACTTTAAACATGATTTTATTTTGGGGGGTTTCACTTAATATCCTTAATTACATCTTTTGACAAATGTATTTTTGCAAGATAATGCTAATGCTAATTGCAGAGCTAACTGCAAAGACAGATTAAGAAACAGTCAATCATATTATTACCTTGGTAAGTGGTTACATTATTAAAGGAGTCCTTACCGCCTTAACGCCTAAGGTTTTTGGTAAACTCTGTTGATATGTAGCATTTTCCAAGTGAGAATTGTTTTTCAAACCTTCATTGCAATCCAGAGCATTTAGCTCCCATCTGCTAACTATCTGAACATTCCATACATTCTGTATTTTTTTTAAATCTTTTAGATATTCTCTGCAGTTAATGGGGTCTTTATTACTCTTTGGCAGTCGCAGTAATATAAATAATTATCATTTGGTATGTAATTGTACTATGATGGATGGCAGGATTTCATGTCACACTTTTTAAAAAGTATATATATATACTGTACATTAGATTAAAAACAGCCCATAATAGCATCTCCAACCCCTCCTCTTCTTACAGGCTGCCTCTATTCAGTGTGCATCTGGTCAGCCAGCAGGCTCAGAGACAGGGCCAGGTGGCCGAGGGAGAAGAAGAAGGAGGGGGCGGGGAGTGTGGGGGAGGCGGGGGGAACGCTAGCGATGGAAAATGAGGAAGGACGGCCATCTGAAGCTGTGCACATGGTGTAATCCACATGCTATAGGTTATACTGAGAACGGGCTCCAGCTGACACCTGGGATGTAAAGGGCAATAGATTAAAAATGCAGGCGTAATCATTGACTGGAACAGGAAGTGGACTCGTGGTCTGTGTGTCAGATAACAAATAAAAGTTAGAGAGACGTAAAATGCAGTTGAAACAGTGAGAAAATAATTATGAAAACCATTCCAATGTTGTGGTCTGCTGGAGCTGAAGGATGGAGGAGCTTTTCCAGGTCACTCTGGCTGTTCTGTTGAAAGTCAAAACCGAGTCAAGGACGTCGAGGATTTTAATTCAGCTAGTTTTTTTTTTTTACTAGCTGAATTAAAAACAACTTGATTGGACTGTAGTCACTTGGCCACTCTGATAGATATAAATGAGTGTCGTCTGCATAACTATGATAGTCATGATAACAGTTCTGCAGTACGGGACCCAAAGGTTCCATATACATAGGTACAGTATATTGTGTGACTGATTACTGTGGTTGTCAGAGGGTGAATAAAATACTGCATATATTTCTTGGGAATTATTGACTTGTAGTTGATCATTTAGAGACTATATTTGTCGGAGGGCCAGAATTTTTCTGGACAGACTCCTTAAAGGCCTTTTTCCCCCCCTAACACTATTAGTTGATGTTTATTTTGGAATCCAGTCGGATTGGATTGGACGGTCTGATGGGCTGGATTCAGCCTGTGAGCCACCAGCTGATGACCCCTGATTTAGAGTAAGGCATGAGGCATATTTAAGTCCTCACAAATAACAACTGGGACTGTTGGAGACCTCTTCTTATTAACATTGATTTTTTTTTCACTCTGCTTGTTTTTTTGTTTGTTTGTTTTTTCATTATTATTATTATTATTATGGAAGACATTGTGTCACTCATGACGGGGGTGAATTTATTTCCTGGTTGTAATGATTTTTGAATGGACACATGGTAATGAGACAGGAACAAAGACTGTTGGAGGCCAGCGTTGTTGTTTTTTTTAATGGAAACTTTGTGTGTACTGTATGTGCATAACACATGGCTTTGTTTTAATTCAGTTGTTTGGTCTCAGCACAGCAGACAGCTAACATGCATTCTGTGCGTCTGTGTGTGCTGGAGTGAGCGAGAGACACAGGGAGAAGGAGAGAGAGATGCAGCGGGAGAGAAAAATATGAAGCATCTGTTTCTGTTTACATGCTTCCTCAACTAACGTCCACTTTTGGAAGAGGTAAACAATTTTAAAAAGGAGAAAAAAAAAGAAAAACGGCGGGAAGTAAAAAGGGGATTTTCAGATAAGAGAATTAAGCTTATGACACTGGGAATTATAACATCCATAAATCAAGGATCAGTTAAACCACATCATCCACATAGTTGTTTCCAAACCACCAGTCAAACATTAACAGCAAATACATACAGGTTTAATCACTGTTTAAATAGAGCATAAGTCACATTATGTAGCATCTAGCACTTCAGCTTATACAACAAGGGTGACCAGCAACAATTGTTGGAAGGCCAGAAATTTTCCGCACAGACATCTGGGGGTTTGGTCACTCAAACAAAAAAATGATATAAAAATCACTTTTTTCAAACATTATTATTTGATGTTTACATTGGAATCCAGTCACGGGCCAGATTTAATGGATGGGCGGAACAGATTCGGCCCATGACAGAGATTTCCATGAAGCTGGAAAAAGCATCGTAGTAGAACTTGGTTCGACTTTCCCAGCCACAGTCTCCAACAGCCAGAAGTGTTCCCATTCCACACTCGTAAAGTCAGTACCGCTGACATTTTATTTGCACACAATGGCTGCGAACGTGAACTTTTCAGTGCATCGTCACACAGTGTAATAAATGATCCAGAACAGGTCTGTTTCTGGTCAGACTCCCGACGATGATGACTTCACTGGGCTGGACACGGTGATGCAACAAGAAGAACAGCAAACAAAAAGAAAGATTCTTAATGAGACCAGGAAGACTAGTCTGACCAACCAGAACGGACGGATCAAACACCCAGCCTGTTTCTATCATTTCAATTGTGAAAAATGCAGATAGATAACATAGCTAACAGACTGTGACACATTAGCATTTAAAATGGTTGAAATGGTTACATCAGCGTTTCCAGACAACAACTCGTGCTAGGAGACAGTGCGGGAAACCTCAAAATGTTTGTGTCGAAGTAAATGACTGGAACATTTGTTGACTTGCATTTTTATTTGAATCCACTATAGGTGTGGTTAAAAACAGAAATCAAATCTTACATAGGAAACATAGCTATCAGCTAAACAACTCTACAAAACAAAAACAAGGATGGCAAACGTCAATATTTGTGTAATATCTATTCATAATAATAGAAAATAATAATAAAAAATATTATATATAATTAATTTTCTATACATATATACAGTACACACACACACATATATACATATATATATCCAGGGTTAATTAGTTAGTGTCATCTGACACAGGTGAGTCAGATGACACCTGTGTCCTCTGATCCTCTGTTAATCAGTCTCACTGGTCTCACCTGGTGTCCTGGGTATATATATATATATATATACCCCTCTCCCTCACTCTGTTGTTGTTGCTGGGTCTCTGTGTGATTATTGTTTCCGTGGTACTGGTGTCGGTCCGTTGTCTCTGTACTCCAGGTCTGTTTCTTAGAGCTTGTCATTGTTTTCTGTTTCATGTCTGTTCCTGCCTGGCCTGTGTCTCCGTACGTGATCCTGTGATGGACTGACTAACACGCTGGACTGTGGCAACTGGCTCCAGTTCCACAGAGGAACCTAACTAGGATCAAGTGACAGAGGATGAATGAATGAAAGAACGAACTCAATGTGGTCCACGGACAAAGGAAGAGACCCACTAATTCTGACTGATCAAAACAGTTTTCCACTACCCCTCACTAAAATAATCTAATCAGCATCCCCATCCTTCTTCCCCATCCTCGGTCTCCTCTTCTTTTCCTCCTCCTCCATACCATCACTGTTCCAACCCCTGATGCTGGCTAATCTGATGCAGCCTCAGATTTGTCTGTCTGCTCTCACATGGCCAGAGTTTCCATTACATCTTGTGCAGCACATTTATCTAATAGTTCCATGTCATTTCCCAGGTCTGTGTCTGTCTGGAGAACTGATTATTGTAACCAAAGGATGTTTCGGAAAATGCCCCTTTTTTTCTGGTAATCAAAGCTTCTTTTTTTTTCCAGATAAATATGTCATATGTACAGAATTACAGAAGTAATTGCTTTACTGTATAATCTGGTTCTGGACAGTGAAATCTGAAGATTACTTGAGGCTGAGGTTCCGAGAACAACACACACACACACATACACACACACATCTAAGAATAATCTATATTTATTTTTGTTCCTCTTTAATATCGATGGTCAACCACAATGGATTTTTAAGATGTGCCTTCTGGATAATCTATTTAGCGAACACATCCAACACTATAGTTTTCACAGAG